ATTCCCTCAGACACCCTGCCCCGAAGCGGTTTAGGGCTTTGTATGTTATTGTGAGCACCTTGAATTGGGTTGCAGTAATCCAAACATGAGGTTACAGTAGCAAGACTCCACTCTTCCAAGTAGGGATGCAGCTGATAAACAAGCCAAAGCTGGCAGAAAGCACTCCTGATTACTGAGTCCACCTGAGCAACCAGTGACAACATGGGATCCAGGAGCACTTCAAGTCTACACACCTTACCCCTTAGGGGGAGCAGAACTCCATGCAGGACAAGTTGAAAATTCCCCAGTTGGATAGATGGACTCTCCACTAACACTGCTTTCATCTTACCTGGATTGAGCTTCAGTTTATTATAGAGTCTGCTCGAAACAGGATTAGACCAGATGAATTCTATGGTCCCTTCTAATTCAATTATGGCTTTCATTTTTAAGTTGTTTTGGCTTAGGATATCTTAAGAACCATTTTTTCCCATATGAACCGAACTCAGGTTTCAGATAAACATTAGAGGTATGGCATATAAGCATGTAAGATGGGGCATTTTTCAGTGTTGGCACCTACCCACCCAGGGAGCCTTGTGGCTCATGGGACAGGCTAAATACTAAATAATAATAATAATAATAATAATAATAATAATAATAATAATAATAGTTGCATGTACTAAAGAAAGGGTCCTTTTCTGGGAGAACTTTCCTGAGAAAAGGCTGCTTGACCCCAACATCATTTTCATTTATCAGTATTACCTTGACTGTTTCAGAAGGCTTTGGGGCTAAATACAAGATGGTGATTGTGTGAAATTCTTCTGCCACTTCCTCCTCTGATGATGAATTTGTTGCCATGGTTCTTACAACTGTTTCATCTTATTGTTATAGATGCATTACTTTTAGACTGAAAGGCAGTGTACAGATTTTTTTAAAAAAAAAATACAATCCTGTATCAAGAATTTTTTCACATTACTGATGAGATGCTGACAGCTCAATCATATACAATGCAGTATACATGTTTACTTAATTCTTCCATGCCTTACCCCCTGATAATTGTGCGTAAGAGTATAGATTAACTGCTCCACACTCAAATGTGAAAACAGTACAAAACTCAAAAGGCTTGTAGATGCCAACATAGTGCTATGCAAATGTCCCACCCAACAATGAGCAAAGAAAGGCTAGAATATATTCTAGCTCTAGAATATTCAGAAAAGCCTGAATTCTACCACTGCTTAAATCTTATTGTCTGTCCATTTCAGTGATACATGAACCACTTGCTCTCACATTACTAGGTAAAACTGAGCTGCTGAGTAGTGGCCTCCCACAATCATTGCAATTCCAACTGATTTGTGATTATTAAGTGACAAATTGTGATGAAGAGTGGGAAATTTTCTGCTCCTTTATTTTTTCATGGAAACATTTCCATTTCCTAAGTATATTAGTAAAAATGAATGAGTGCCAATTGCAAATACAACATTGGGCAAGATCAGCGGTTTCAAAACTGAAATTAATGTTTTTCAGTTGATTAATGTATGTGAGATTATGTACATGTCTTAGTCTGAAATGGAACTCATAAACAGCAACCGGGAAATAGAAGATGCCCCAACAACCTTAGTGGAAGAAAGGAGAACTGTTAAAATGGATGAGTGATTGTGAGCATACAATACACACCTCTTTGACTTACTAACATTAAGGTACAATCTCCTTCCTTCCTTCCTTCCTTTAAAAAACATGCACATATTTTGCTGTTAGCATCAACAATTTTTATAAATTTTGTTTTTCATAAATTTAAACTATGTAATAGAAGTACATGTTACTGCCTTTCATTTTTACAATTATTAGCTTTAGCCAGCATAGTTAATAAGCTGTAGACAAAAACTTGTGGGAAGACTACAAGTTGCCTTCCCCTGCTGTAAGGCATCAGAAGATTTTCCAGTGCAAACAGATTTTTTCATATACAAATATACAAATGAACCCATGCAAATTAACATAATTAACCTCATATGTATTGGGTTAATTTTTTGCATTTTCTTAAAATTACCCACAATAATAATTACAAATGAATTAAACAGAAATGAATGTTTTATCACAATGAACAGATAAAAATATTGAACTCTGTCAAAGTTTCTCAAGTTTCACAATATTTTTTTAAATGATATGGAAACTAAATAAATGGGTATTGCTCAAAATGTGTCATTCCTGAATCTCTAGAGATTTTTTTCATAATATAAGTTATGATTTAGGTGAATATTGTCATGCTAGAATCTAAAGAACAGTCTGATAACAAGTCAAAGACAAACTCTGCTAACAGAAAACTTTCAATTAATTTATGAATCACTGGAAGTGAACACAACCATTAAGAAGCTGAAACTAAAGTGCTTATAAAGACAATACTATCATGTCAGCTGGACCAATTATAAAAACATATACAAAATATTATAGCTCAAAAGAAATGTTAAAAGTGTTGTCTAATAAAAAGAAACAGTTCTACTACTCTGCAAGATTTTACTATGCTTTGTTTCATTTCTGTAGCAAACAAAACTAACATTAAACATGATAGAACATGTTCAGTAACTCCCTTTTTTCTGCTTTCATTTTTTCCTTATGACTAGGCTTTCAATAATCAGGCCTGCATGGATCTACTTACTGTTTACCAAAAGCAAGCCCCCACTCCTTACATCAACATAAGAAACCCTCCTCCCTTTCCCAACTTGGAGAGAAGGCCTTTATATCGCTTTGCATTTTCAGGCAGCAGAAAAATGCAAGGGCAAATATCACAGTCCTCCAACCCCTTCAGAGTCAGGGAGTGGTGTGTTTCCCCTGTTATGCTGAACTTTGGAGCAGAAAAGACATACTGGAAATGTAATATGAAAACCCGGTGCAATATAAGGGGCTGTTCCCCATCACAAGCTCACTGGTATATGCTGAACACTTAGGAGAATGGAAAATGGCAACTACAACTCATGGGTAGCTAGTAATCTAAGACAAAAAGTTGTAGACACCTGCCAATCATTTCCCTTTTGGGAAAAATGCAATTAATAGCCAACATACATTTCACCAGCAGTCACAAAAATATGTTATTATTCTGCCGCTTACAGCCACTAAGTTCAGTCTGGAACAATTACTTCCTTTTCCCCTTTGCAGTAACATTAGAACAAGGTATGGATGGAGTTATACCAAGCTCTCCTTCAGAAAAGTATGTTAACAAATAATTTAAGGAAAACCAGAAGGTGGAAAGCCTCATTACACACTCTATACTTAAGATTTTTTTCCTGGCTTTTTATTTCCATGCTTCTGTTAAAAAAAACCCACCTTTTTATTTTTATTGACATATCCAGTCATTCTTAAAGTTAACAGTGTAAGAATCAGGCAGTTCTTGCCAAAACACAGAGTTGGTTAGGCTCCAAACTGCATTGGTTAAGTTCCAACTACAAATCAATAGCTGCTCTTTCCCATAGTGGATAGGGCATACTGGTGAACTACCAGCAAAGTGGGCAACAGGTGTCACAAACCAGCACCATGTATCCTCTTTCAGATAATGTGTAATGTGGTCACTTCACTAAGAGTAGTCATAATCTACAATAAAAGCCATACTACTGAATGGCAACAGAATCATTAGCACCATTAAGCCACCATGTTTTGGTATGGTGAAAATATTGTTCACACAGCTAACATTTACCAAACACACACCACACATGACAGAAACCTATCTTCTAGCCAAAGAAAAAGCTACCAGCACCTCTCACCCAAAGCTTGTCTGCTGATTGAAGCATTCAAACTATTGTGGTATAGAATTTTAAACTTTAAAAATCAAAGGAAAATCAATTTGGAATAAGTGAAGAATAGTGTAGTATTATTAGTGGACAACTCTCGGTGAAATCAGACTGCTGTCCTGTCTCATTAACTTAAACAGAGGGGTGGGTGCCAGTGAAACACACTTTGCCAGAATTCTACAAAACTTCACCAATGCTTTATCTGCCCAGTTTATCTATATTCAGCATATGCAATTCTGGGCAACATTAGGTGACAGCAGCCTCAGGCCACCCAGCTTCTTAACACAATTGGCAATTCACTGAGTTCAACAACTCAGTACCCTCCAGAAAGGCTAAGGCTAGATGTAGTGTCTGATTTGTTGAGTCATTTGCCTTAAAATGTGGGGTTGATGGATAACATAGATAGCTTTAAAAAGAATTAAACATTTTCATGGGGAGTAGGTTTATCAAAAAGCTAAATGCAGATTCATGACAGCTAAACTGAAAATTCAGGTTCAGAGCCAATGAAAACCCGTGGCAGAGAGAGAGAGAGAGAGAGAGAGAGAGAGAGAGAGAGAGAGAGAGAGAGAGAGGAGTAGCAAGGCAACTACTACCTCCACACCCATGCCTTGCGTGTAGGCTTCCCAGAAGCACCCCGCTGGCCACTGGGAGGAAACAAGGCTTAGACGGTCCTAGCAGATCTCTAACAATCTGTTCACATACACAAACTCACGTCCTAACACTCCATGTTCCCTAATGAGACATCAAGCGAACTGCCCTCTCGCTGCGCACTGACTTATCTGGATTAAAATCCAAACCTCCTCTGAAAGAAAAAGCGGGGCGCCACTCTATGCATTCTTTTCCCACCCCCTCATTCCCGATCCACTATCACTGCCGGCATAGGGGTCGGTAGAGGGGATGGGACGGTTAAGCAACCCGCGCGAAGCGCTCGTTAGGACAGAGAGGGAAGCAACGGCCTAGCCAGCCCGGAGGTGCCCATGCGCGGCAGCCACGCCTCACTCAGCGCCACACAGCAGCGAGGAAGAGGCTGCGGCGGATCGCCCTGCTCCGCTCCGTGCGGCCAACCAAGCCGCGCCACGGGGGGCAAGGAAAGGGCAGGCGGTGGCAAGCGAGAGAAGGCAGTCCTTATCCGCCACCGCCGCAATGGCGGGAGGCGGGGACAAGGCCGGGGCAGAAAAGAAAGAAGGCCGCTGTTCTTTTTCTCGCGAGGACCTCCCGCTCCCTCCACCGACGGCCACCGCCACTTACTGCTGGTGGATCTTTCCCTCGTCGCTCTTGCCCCTGCTCCGGCCGCCGCCGCCCTCACAACTCGGGACTCCTCCGTCTCTATGGGCGACCGGAGCTGGCCGACCTCTCACCCGCTCCTCCTCCTCCCACTGCTGGCTCCGCCTGGCCCCGGGCGGGGATGGCGAAGAGGCTTCCTGGGACGGGACTAAGCGCTCTGTTTTCCTCTCTTCGCTCGCCAGTCCAGCAGCATCAGCCAGCTTGCAGCGGATGCGGCCGAGCGGGAGAGTGGGCGGTGGAGGGGGTTCGCCGTTCCCGCCGCAGGCCGCCTGTTTGGCTGGCCGGCAGGCCGGGAAGGCAGCTGTGCTGCTCAGTCAGATGAGGAAAAAAACCTTGACGGGCAAGTTCGGCGTCTTCAGCCCTGGCTGGTGGACACCGTAGGCCCACTCCCTAGGGGCGCCGCACCCTGCAGTATGCAATGCAGTACACCGCGACGGAGAGACTTCGTAGAAGAGTCCGGAGGCCGTAAAAACAACCGTTTAGGCCGCACCGGATGATGCTTCGCAAGCGCACCTAGATCTGCACCAACGCTACTGTTTTTTTTAAACACTTCTTAAGGTGCGATCCTACAGTGCTTGAAGTAGAAAAAAGTTCCTCAATTCCCAGTATTCACCAGTCAGCTGGGGAAAACTAGGTATTGCTGGCCGCCTTTCCGTCTAAATATGCTTGCACTCTTAGAAGTATTGCGTCGGACCAAAGGCCGATTTAGATGCCTCCAGCAAGCCCATGTATGGATAAATAACGAAGCGGAATACCCCTGAGTACCCCTGCACTAGTGGCATACTGCTTCTGAACTGACTCATAGCTTACACTTGGGAGGAAATCCCATTAATCAAAGTGAGAAGGACTTAGGAAATGTATTTGAAAACTGGACTTAGTGGGTTCTGTGGAGAAAGTGGTGGACCTACGTTCAATGGCCTTATATAACTCATACTTGTATTTTTATGTAAGTATGTAGAAGCTTTATATCCCACCCACCTTTTAAAGGACATCAGGACTATGTCCGAAAACAATTAGTAGCTGCTGGATATATTATATGCTTGAATATGATTAATGAAAATTGTCTACAGATTTTAAAGAGTCATTTTAAAGAATATGGACACCCTCAGCATATTATTGTATTTTTTACCAAGTAGGAAATACACCTGAGTCATACAAGATTTGTATTTATAAGTTTAAGGCAAATCACAATCCTAAACATGAGCAAAATTGCAGGACAAAATCATTCAATAGGGTATGGCTTGCTCTTTCTTACAACCCTGTAAGGTAAGTTGGGTTGAGAGGCTGTGATTGGCTCAAAGAGGAGAATAGAAAGAACCCAGTTCTCCTGAATCCCACACTTAACAACTACACTACACTGGCTCTCTAACATGTCATCATTAAAGAGAGGAATGATTATTCAGGTGAAATACCCTAAACAAATAGGCAGGAAAAACTGAAAGAGTGCATGGTGGGTCCAAAACATTTGGTACAAAACAGGTATTTTAGAGGAAGGAACAACATATTTTAAGGCTGACCATGCAGGCATCCTGACTACAAAATGTCAGCCTCTCTGCCTCTCTTGCTAATCTGTTTCTGTAAGATCTTGTCTGAGTAAGGGATGCACATGTTTTGTGATCTTTGTGGTGGTATAACAACATAGTATTTGGAGTTTGGAATTTTTCTGATGGCTAACAAGGCTATCTTTGTTTTTTGTATAATTTAACAACAAAATATAGGTCACGTTTAAGTGTTTTAAGCACTTAAATATCTTTAAGGAAGTGTCCATACTAGTGCAAGTGCTACCACATGCATTTCCGATGATATTATCAAAAGTCCTTGTCAATCAGGAATTTGGTGATTGCTCTGACTCATTAAAGATGTGGGTACCTATTTTCCAGATACTGGTTTCATTCCCTTTAAGTAGTCATTTTACATGTAGTGATTTATATTAAAACATTTAGATTTCTTGTGTAAATGATGTTACAGGCTTTGCTTTATTTATGGATGGAATGTACTTGTTAATGTTTGCCAGGAGGTGGCACCATCTTTTTATGAAAAATGAATCTTGGTACTAGCCTGAGTATCCTGAAAATGTAGGCAGCACCTTTTAGTAGGGGCAGTACAAGAGATCCATAATCACATGTCAAAGGATGCAAGACAGTCGCTAAAGAGTCTGTTTGTTTGGTTTTGATGAATGCAGTTGTGGACAAGTTACTTGGAAGAATGAGGTGAGCTGCTTGAGTTTGGTTAATTAAAAATGCCAGAGGGGGACTGACCCTGTGGTTTGTAGAGACTGTTAATGCTTCCTTGGATGAGAGCTGTGCTCCAACTCCATTAAAGGGAGTAGTTGTAAAAATGCTATTTTAAAAAATCTCCTTTTGGACTCCACCCTCTTTGGTAACTATCTACCAGTATCTGACTTTTTTAAGTTAGGTATATCAATGGGGTGGCAACTCCAGGCTTTCTTGGACAACACTGGTTATTTAAATCATTTCCAGTCTGGAATCAAACTCAGTATGAGAACAGAAACAGTCTTGATAGGTGACCTGTCTTGGAAACTAGACAGGAAGTATAACCTTGCAGGTTCTGCTAGACCTCACAGTGGCTTATAGTACGATTCTGGGCCATTTAGGGGTTTGGAGGTACAGTTCTGTGATGGTTCCAGAGGTATCTGCTTAGATGCCAAAAAGTGGGGATGGGTGACTACTCTTCAGTCCCTTGGATATTCCACATTGGAATCTCTGCTGCTCTGCCTCTTGGCAGAGCAGCAGAGCAGCAGAGGCACAAGCTGGGGGAGAGTGCTGAGTGGCCAGGGGACTGGTGAAGGCAAGGTAGGAGCTGGGCAGAGGAGCAGAGGGCCAGGAGCAGCAGAGAGGAAGGGCGTCGTCCCTTGTCTGCATCCCTTGGCTGTGGCCCGGGCTGTCCAGAGACTCCCTTCCCTGAGACACAGAGGTTTGTTTGTTTGTTTGTTTTTGTTTGTGCTGTGCTGTGCTTTGTTTTGTTTTGTTTTTCTTCCAATTTAAGTTTATCCTTGTGTGTGTGTGCAAGTGGGTTTTTGTCTGGGAGAACTGGGTGAGTGAGAGGAACTGCAGGACAAACAAGGCAGGGGACCAAGGTAAGGTCTCGGAAGGGATACCGATGGCAGACCAGGAGATGGCCTTGGCGGGAGTCACGGGTGTTGCTGTCCGCTGCGAGAGCTGCGACATGTTCGCCCTTCTCCCCCAGGAGAGGCAGGGATACACTTGCCCTCGGTGCAAGATGGTGACCGTGCTAGAAGGGGAGGTGAGGTGCCTGAGGGCCGAGAGACCTCTCCAGCCCCCCCCCGGAGCAGCCCCCCTCTGGACAGAGGGTTGAGGGAGAGACCACGGGAGGAGCAGCTGTGGAAACATGGAGGTATGTCACCCACAGGAGGAGGAGGCCAGCACGGCCTCTTCCTTCTCTTGGCACCAATCTGGAGCTGGGAAACAGGTTCTCTCCACTTGGGGAGGCTGGGGCTGATGAGGCCTCGGGGGACCAGCAGGACCCCCAGCCTGGCACATCAGGCGGCAAGGGGGCCGCTGCGGGAGAGGCGAGGGCCAGGGCACGGCTGCCCACCAGCACCGGGAAGGTACGGCGGCGGGTGATTGTTGTTGGGGACTCCCTGCTGAGGGGCACTGAGGTGGCAGTGTGCCACCCCAACCTGGAGACAAGGGAGGTTTGCTGTCTGCCGGGCGCATGCATCCAGCATGTGAAGGACAGAGTGGAGCGTCTTGTTCGCTCCGGGGGTCACCAGCCGCTCCTGGTGATCCATGTGGGCACAAATGATGTGGCCAGGCAGGGTGTGGCTGGGACCACCAGGGACTTTGAGGCCTTGGGGAAGAAACTCAGGGAGCTGAAGGCCCAAGTGGCCTGCTCGTCAATCTTACCTGTCTGGGGATTTGGGCCAGGAAGGGACAGGAGGGCCTCCGAGGTGAACGACTGGCTTAGGGTGTGGTGCCAGAAGGAACGCTTCGGGTTCCTCGACCACGGCACTTGTTTTCTTGCCAATGGACTTCTGGCAAGGGATGGGTTACACCTCAGGAGGATGGAGAAAAGGTCCTTTGGAGATGCTCTAGCGAGCTTCATCCGGAAGACTTTAAACTGAGCCGGGGGGGGGGGGTTCAGGCCTCCCAGTAACATGTCTGCACTGGACAAGTGTGGGGGGAGGATCAGGGCTCTGGGAGCAGGGTTTTAGAGGTACTGCAGGAACTGACAGGACTCCTACAGAGAGGGGCCAGGTATCAGGGAGGATGGGAGGAAGGAGGAGGCTGGGAACTCCAAGGAAAGGAAGCGGTGGGAAGGAGTTGAAGTGCATGTACACCAGTGCTAGGAGCATGGGTAATAAGCAGGAAGAGCTTGAAGCTCTCCTGGGAATAGGAGGGTATGATCTGGTGGGAATCACAGAAACTTGGTGGGATGAAAGGCAAGTCTGGAATGTGAACATAGAAGGGTATCACCTTTTTAGAAGGGACAGGAAGGGAAAGAGAGGTGGGGGTGTGGCTTTATACATCAGGGAAGGGATAGGATGCAGTGAGATTGAATGCAGCACAGATGGGGGATTCGGTAGAGACAGTCTGGGTGAAACTTAGGGGTTTTGACAGGGAAAGAGACCTGACAGTGGGGGTATGTTATCGCCCTCCAGGTCAACTTGAGACCCTGGAAGATGTCCTGACAGACCAGATTCTAAGGATATCTCAGGGGAGAGACACAGTAATTATGGGAGATTTCAGTCTCCCGGATATTACTTGGGAGACTCACTCGGCGGTGACAGCCAGGTCACCTTGCTTCCTAGAAGCTATAGAGGGAGGGTTTTTCACACACAAGGTCTGAGAGGCGATTGGGGGGGAACATCCTTGACTTGGTCTTGACCAATAGGGAGGAGCTGATAGATGAAGTACAGATTAGGGGAGCTCTGGATGTGAGTGATCACTCCATCCTTTGCTTTGAGATCAGGGGACTGGGGACGTGCAGCAGGTCGAGCACTAGAAGCTGGGACTTCAAGAGGGCCAACTGAAGGCCAGACTGGGGAAAGTCTCCTGGGATAGGTTACTGGAAGGTAAGTGAGTTGAGGAGGGGTGGATAGCACTCAAAAGGGAGG